ATTTATGAACAATTGATTGTTCATGTCAGTATGGTAATGACTATAAAAAAGCAAATTTATATCTTCTTTTAAGTCTCAAAAGATATTAATGTCCCATATACATATGTCATGTTCCTCATTAGATAATGATGATTTTGATATCTATATAAGAAAAATTAGTTATTTACTTCATTATGGTAACAAAAATAATAAACGATTGTCAAGAAATAAATGCCTTTAGCAATCTCTAAAATGGAGCAAATAAATGTATGCACGAGAAATAGGGGGTGCATTAGAGCCTTTAAATCTACAAGGACAATACTAGGACATCTAATTGGGTTGGGAAGGGAGACTAGCTAGATAAGGACTGATTTACTTGACAAAAGGCCAAACAAACACATATACATGAAATGCTTAGGTTCGAAGGGAAAAGTTTAAGGTTTTCAAAATGAATAATCTAGTATAGGGTCACACACCCCACTCTCTATTGTAAGGCGTGACCAGAGCATGTATACACTTATTTTTTAATAACATAACTTTCATTAATATAGAGTGCATAGAAGTGTTACATCCCTTTAAATATGTAAATCATATAAAATAAAGTACAAGACTATAAAATATTCTTTTTTCTTACAGTACAAAGTATAAGACTACAAAACAGTAACATGATTGATAGAGCCTAACTTTAAAAAAGAAATATGAAATTACTTATCTTGCAGAACATGTTATCTTAATTCTGGCAGAGTTTTATCTTAATTCCTAAACTTTTCCTCTTGAAAGTTTGATAGAATTCTGGGATGACTTTACTCACTTTCTTATCTTTAAAATAATCATAATATAACTCAAGAACTAATCCCAAATTCTCATGGAAAATCGAATTTTAAAACCAAGAAAATTGCATACCTTTCTTCAAGGCAATGGCCTTCCTTGGCCGTGGCTTATTGCTTCATTTTCTTCTACTTTCTCTTACTCTTCTTTTCTTCTTCTTTTTTCTCATTTCTCTCATAATTTTGGTAGATTTTTTCTTAAGAAAAACTCACAAAACACCACTCAAAACACAAACACACACACTCACGAATTTCATACCCTTTCACTCTCTCTTTATTTTTTATTTTTTTCTCTTCTTTTCTCTCTTTCTGATGTGATCTCAAATGACCCACTTTAAGTCTAAAGATGTAATCCTGCATCAAGGAGGGATCTCATGGAAACCAGGATTCCCACAGGATAATTACTAGTAGTTTGCAGCCGTATAAAAAAGGACGTACGAAATACATGAAGCACCACAAAGATGCCGGGTACGCACATCCCATAACACACGGACATAGACCCCCAAGCGCAACACACACACGAGAAAAGAGAAAATCATCTTGCCTAAGAAAAATGGGATAAGAACGTTCAAAGAAGACCTAAAGCCCATGAAGAGACTCCTGGAGTTTGAGAATCACAAGACTAGAAAAAAAGCCCACTTTTGCCCAATCTGATAAGGCCCAAAGGCCTTACAGCTAAGGAGACATCATGTCAAGACAGGTCGTGCAAACTAGTAAATTTGCGCGCATGTGTGGGCATACACATACGTGAGAGAGGAAAACCCCTGCATGCAGGAACATGTTGCGTACAGAGCGGACGGGAAAGCAGCTCCCGGTGCGTAGAAAGAGGACACATGCACATCACACTTGAAGAGAGTTTACGCGCACATGGATAGTGTCATGCACGCACGAAGATAGAGGTACACACTTACAATAAAGCATGCATACAGTGCCTACCTGCATATGAAAGACATGTGGACAAAAGCTGTTGATGTCAAGAAGGAGCATTCTTCTCCTTTTCCCCATATGTCTTAAATTAATTTCACATAGGACAATATCCAGCTTATTTTAAGTATTATTTTTATTAATATTTTATTATAATTATGTCCTTTAAGAATATTTAATTAGTATTTTTGAATTAAAGATTGGGATAGAGTATTATTTTATTATTTTTTAAGTATTTGTATTCAATTAGAATATTTCAAGTGAAAACCTATAAAAAAACCTCACTAGTAGGCTATCAATCACAACTTACATTTGAGAAATTCATAAATAAAGCTTTGGCTTTTCTTGAAATTAGCTATGCTCATTTTTTAGTGTTCTTCAGGCGTCTTCAAGTTAGGGAGCTTTAAACTACTTCACTGAGTTAAGAAATTGGGATCAACTTATCAGCTAAGCTGTGATGTTTTTTCTTATTCTTTTTATCTCCTAATTATCTGGATAAACCTTCAATATGTTGATTGCAATTACAAGAGGAAAGGTTAAATTTAGGTAATTAAGTTTTTGAATTGCTGAATATATTAGATTAATAATCAAGGTATTTTCGATATGTGTAGACATCCATCTCCACCTCGCGTCACTTTCTCTCTTCTTCTTACAGGTTAAGATGTTTTCTTCCCTTCCCCCAGCCCCTTGTTTATAGGGGAGGAGGACTCAAGGTGAGTCAGTAAGGGAAAACATGTGGCAAACCAAGATTTTGCCACCTTACATCACCATGACACCTCATGTTTTCATCCTTATGTTTTCTTGCCACATCATGCTTGTTCTAGATCCTTTATCGACCTTCTCTTTGCTTCAATGACTCATCTTGCTTGCCAGCAGCTTCTCACCAAATTTTGGGCTTATTTGGAGCCCACTTAGGTCACATGAGTCCATAATGCCCAAAACCGCAACTCATGTTCAAGACTTCTCTTCCAACAGCCATGTCTCCCTTGATTCTCGAGAGTTTTTGACCCACCTCAGCTTCATGTGTTCCTCATGTTGTTAGCTACTTACCATCCTAATTCAGGCTTAATCAGACATGGTTAGACCTATCTAAGGCCCACTCAAATCCTAGAAGGTCTAAATCACAAGCCATTATAGGCCTTTCCCCAATACTTTCGAGTTTCACTTTATTTCTCTCAAATCTCTTTATATGGAAAAATTTCTTTTTCATATATCTTTTACTTTATGTCTTAGCTTACTCACCCCAAATTTTGGGCTTCAAATTGCGTGTATTTTGGTCCCAGGAAAGAAATTCATCCATAAAGGTCATTTTCTAGTTTCTTGGGGGAAAACTTTTTTGAACTTCATTTCTCTCCCATTTTTCTTCCTCCAAAAATTTTCCTCACTCTACAAATTTATTGTATCATATGTTAACTAACATTCTCAAAAAGTTTGGCTTAAAATTCTATCGATTGAAGGCTCGGGAAGCGCTCAATCACAAAGGTTTATTTTCTCTCACTAACTAGGAATTAGGCTTTTCGTACTTAAACTAATGCTCTGTTTTTATTCCAACTTTCACTTTTAACCTTCTTCTTATGTTCTTGGAGTGTATTTCAACTTCCTAGGATATTGTTTTAACCTCGAGAAATGATCCTTGATCGAGGTAACTCGTTTTCCCTTTTTAGGGAAAATCCTCACACTAAAGGATTTTTCCTTGACTTAATTCTTCAAATTCCTTTCCATTGTCTTTCAAACTAAGTTTTTATCCTTACTATACCTTTTTACACCCATAAAGATGCTTAATTAACCATTTTAAACACAAGAAATCATGTTAGGGAAACCCGAGCTATTACAAACAAAGTACAAGGGTGAGAAAAAATAAGGGAAAACAAAATGGAAAGATCAATAAAAGATGGGTTGTATGCTAGTTAATGAGGATGGCGATCAGAAAAGATTTGGAATTTCATTCACGTTGCATAAAACTTTCTAAATGAATATGTTTTTCTCTCTAAGATAGACTTTTTAATGCTTTAATGAAGAACCTTTGTGTACGAAAACATGATGCCTTCACAAACAAAATTTCGAGAAGTACTTAGGCTAAAATGATATCATCAATGTTCAATAACTGAAGAGTTAGGTTAGGATTCTTGAAGATGGGATAAATGGATCATAACTTGGAAAAAAATAGTCTTTTTATGTTTCTTCAATAACTTTTTTTCTAATTAAAAATGTTTTTGACTATTGTATTTTTATAGATCTTAGGACTATTCTAGTTCTATTGTAATTATTTGTCATTGATGATTAATAAATGATCTTTTTACTTTTTAAAAAGAAAGTAGTAGTTATGATGATTAGTGAATATGAGTGGCAATTTGAAAGGGGATGCATTTTAGGATTTTATATATTTTAATTTTTAATATTTTATTTAACTATATATCTTTTAGACAAAATGCAAGTAACATGTGTGCTTGAAGTACTACACATTCAATAACATTAAAATTAATGACTTTTATCAACAAGATATTATTTTGATAAAAGTTTATAATATAAGGTGCACATCACTACAATTAGCAATATATCCTTCAATGAAAGTAAAACAGTATATTTTTGTATTGGTAATTTTTATAAAACAAATTGGACTTGATCACAAAAAATATTCATAAACCTTTTACTCTTTTTCAATTTAATCTTTTATTTTTCATTTTTAAATCGGTCATTAAATTAATTAATTTATTAAAATGAATAAATTTTTACACATATCATCACCACATATTAATTATGTAACAAACAATTAATGACGTGTTGCACTGAATTACTATATCTATTTAAATTTCTATTTAGCATTCAAAAGATCCAAATCTGATCTAATAATAACCATCTCTTCCAACTTTGATCTTTTTGTGTCTCAATTTAGATCGTGTTTAACATACTTTATTTAGTTTTCCCAAAATTCATAGTTAATTTAATTTACATGTTCAAAATTTATTTATTTAATAGATTAATTAAATAACAAATTTATAAAAAGACGAAAGACGCAAACAATTTAATTAAATCGCAATC